TCATGTCTAATAAAAGCGGAGCTAAGGTTTTCACAGTCTCTTTTAAAAGACTCCAACTTGTAAATCCCCTTTTTATGTCGCTACATGCACGATTATTCTTATAAATAAAAAATCTACATGTTCAAGGAGCTGGATCGGAACGGTATATCCCTCTGATTTTAAGGTCGGTGGGAGCATTAGGGTTTCCATCGTATGTAACGTGTCTGTGTTGAACCCAAGTCAACAGATAGATCGTTCCATTCATTTGGCAACTTTCATTACAGCCCGTGTGGGGTGAACCCTAAGCACGACACGTTGGGTAATATCAGAATTATGCAGCTGGGAAGGAAAGGACCCCAATTTTAAAAGCGATCTTGCTTTGCACGTGCAGTCCTGTATCAGCGGTCTAATTTAGGACAGAACCCGAACCGCTTTGTTACGCTCAAAACAATAAATAAGGTGCCGAGCGAAGCCTTGAGAATAAAAAAGGTGTGGATAAAGGATCCGCCTTGCCTATTGTGTATATCGTGACTATCGCCAGCCTTTAAAAGTAACCCGTGCGTTTCCCTATTCCCCCCAGGTCGCTCAGGGTGACATCCCCGGCGCAGCGGTCGGCGTGGTCATATAAGGACCATGAACTCCAGGGTGGGTAAGCCTGAACCCCCCCCCCCCAGCAGATCACGTTAGCCAAGGAGGCTACATGCCTGGAAGCCAGTCAACTTCACGTTTGCAGCTGATGCTGCTGGATGATGCACGAGTGTGTTTTACATATAGCAGACTGTATACGGAATATGTCTTTATGTTTAACATTTTCATTTGTAAATGCTAATTAGGCAGTTGGTCTCCACGGTTATATTAGTAGATACCTAATCGTTTCCCACTATAAGTAAATGAATGCTAAATACGGTAAACATTTCACTTTCTTCTTCCTACCTCCGCGACTGTATCGCTTCTATAGCCATTTTCCAGAGGAGCCCATTCGGACAAAATAGGCATTTATTAAAAAAAAAGGGGGGGGAACACTCTTAAAATTAAAGTGCCATTTCAGGGCACAACCCCGGCAATCCCGGCCGCACCGGACTTTTCCAAAGGCGGGCAGCAAAGTTAAGTTTTGCCGAATGAACTTGTTGCTGGTTTTGGAGTTAGTTAGTTCTCCCGGTGGGTTGCGGTACCCCGAGGGCTGCGGTGCTGCTGCTGGTGCGGACACGCAGCGGAGGAGCTGGGCTGCCAACTCCTCTTGTGGTTAAAATATAAGGCAGGTTACACTTGGAAGGGTTGGGGAAAGAGGGAAGCAGCGGAAAACCTGGGGGGAGGGAGATAAGGGGGGGATAAGGGGGGAATCCACTCAGTCCCAACCCCGGGATGCTGAACTTTGCCGGGCTCTTTGCGACTCCCAAAACCCGCCCGTTTCGGAGGCGAGAGAAACGGTCACTAAAACTACGGCAAATCTCCAAGGAGCGACCACGTTTCTGAGGAGAATTGAGCTCTGGAAATGTGTTTTACCGGGCTGGAATATTGCTAGCGCTTTATTTCGCCAAATGCGGTAGGTGGAAAGTTTTGTTCATGTAAATATCCCAACCGTTTTCCCGTACGGTCAATACACGCGGAGACTTGACTCCGTTTTCCAAATGAAGACCCACGGACACTTTGAACGGAAAGTGTGTTCTTGCAGGTCTTTTTTTTCTCTTTGATTACTTTTCTCTCTTCCCCTCCTCCTCCCCCCCTTCCCCCCTTTTTTTTTTTCTTTTCTTTTTTTTTTTTTTTTTTTTTTGGGTGAGTGTGCATGTGTTAGGTTTTTAGGCGGGGAGTTCATCTTGCCAGGATCTATCATATTTATGGGCTGTGTGATTTCCAGGGCTCCAATTGGTCTTTCCTTTATGGAGGCAAGGAATAAAACTTTCCCAGTCGCACGGAAACTCCCGGGGCTCCAGCTCGGGGGAACAAAGTGGCTTCAATCCCCCCCGCCTCTCCCTCAGGAGGGCTGCCTCTTCCACCCACCCCCCCTCCCGGGACATCCCCCTTACAGGTGCGTTAAGGGGATGCTGCAGCCACGCTGGTCCACCCGTGCCCAGCTCGGTGCCGGCGGGCGGGGATGGGGGCGGAGGGGGGAGAAGAAGCAGCCGTGCTTGGGCAAGGAATGCCCCAAAAAGAAAAAAAAAAGACTAAATTTCTCACTCGCAGCCTCTCAAGGAGGGGAACGGAGAAAAGGAGCGGGCGCTTGGGGTAAGGGGCTGAGGCTCTGCGTGTTTGGGAAGGGACACAGAGCCGAGCTGTGTCCAGCTGAGCTGCGGTGGCCGTCGATGCTGTTTTTTACTCGAGGTTAACGCCTGCCGGTGTCCCGGACGGCGACAACTTGTGCCCGGTGTGCGGGCAGGGCGGGAGGCGGGGGGGAGCCCGGCGCTGGCTCCCGCAGATGGAGAAGTCG